GGTCAGCAGAGGAAGACAATGAAGGATTTTATAAATTAACCGACTTTTAATATAGAACCATAAGCTGGGTATATCACACATAGTTCCTGTCCTACGCGCTATTGATTTTCTGCCAGAGGATCCCAGATATAGTTAGAAATAAGTATTTTCTTTTAAACCTGCCGCACAGCGTCCTTCATTTTCCTAGTTAGTCCATTTTATAGTTTTAACCTTCTCATGCCACCTGACGGCTAGTATATTGATCTATTATACTATTCCAGAAGTATTCATCTGTTATAAAGGAATTATTTTCCTTTACTTTCATCCTGATCATTATTATCATATTTATATTTATCTATATTCTTGTTCTGTACTATCCTCCTCAAGCTCTTCAAGTACTAATACAGCAATGACAACAAAATATAATACAAGGCATCTAATGTATTGCCAACTACCTCACAGCAGAGAATAGCATGGTATCTAACTTCAAAGTAGTAAATAATACCTGTAGTATCTTACTTCACATAACTCTGAATTGGGTTTTCAGCACTGGAGAGAGTAATATCAAGAATATAGTTAAAATATAGATACTGTATCCTGCCACATCCAAGTCACTAATATGTACCACTACCCCTGCTGAATCTTATGATACAGAGAGAATTAATCCATAAACAAGAGCTCGCCAGCTAAGTGTGATATTCAGTTATTAATTAAACAGACTGTGATAAATTATCATTATGATTTGATTCCCGGGATAAAGCCATTGGATTTATCAATACAGCACTAGCAGAGATCGTTCTGTCAGAGGGCCGAGATTTCCAATTCAACCGGTTCAGAAATAGAAAAAGAGATATCCACCACTGCCATATGATACTACCTGCTTCTAACAGGATTATTACTGATTCAAATAGATCTCTGTTAACTTAATATATAATCGGTATACAACACACAGTAATTCTTTCTATTATCGTCTCCATTCCCGTTACATTTTCACTATATTATCATTGCAGCATTTTACTGCTTATTTCTATGCTTATTTTTATGAAATTAATATCATTTTCCTATATTTTCATGGCTTTAATCATAGGAACATCTCACCACACATTTATCGATTTGGGTATAAATATAAGCGAGTTTTTGCTCCAGAATAAAGAAGCAGACCTTTTCAATTAAGCAGTTTATTCTATATATTCAATATATCTTTATACAGTTAGTAGGCTATGACGAAAATAATGACATATATGTTATTCCTTGATAGTAGCATTATTCCCAGTAACCAATTTCATATCATCAGCTGTACCAGCTGCTGAATGGATTGGCTTTGTTGTAGAGTCTCATGCTACAAACAGCTATAGTAGGGTGTCTGTCAATTGGGTGTCTGTCACTTTGGTGTCTTTATTTTGAGACTACTGTTTACTCGCTCTTAGCTGTCTATCCCCTCATTAGATCTCGCTCGGGAGGCTTCATGATCACCTGGCCTACTAGCGGTGCGCTGCTTAATCCTTGTCCCTAAGTGACTGCGTCTTTTCCAGCATACCTTCTGTGCATTAAACATAATGAGCTAAAGATATGGAGACTTTCGGATAAGATTATTTCGATGCACTGAAATCCTTATAGTATTTGATGATAGCAGGTTCGTGAAAGGGCCTATGTATAGGTTAATGGGTATTAAACTATGGAAGTGTTGATGTACTGTTACTGTAATTTTAAAAAGTCCTATATTCTCATTCTAAACTACTAGTAGTGATTAAGATAGAGCAAACGAGAAGGAAGAAGTATGGACCTTTCCAGTATATTATATAGGCCACGTTTTATGAGCTTTGGATCTTTAGTAGGGTGATGGTACTGCATTTATAGAGTACTACAGTCTCCAGCAGCAAGTCTGTGGCACTATTACCCTTGAGGTAATAATATATATAGATCAAATTATTCCTAGCTGGTGGTTTGATTTTTGACGATACTCTTATATATACGATGGTTAGTACTGAATCTAATGTTAAAAGTACTGTATTCGCACATCCACGCTAACGCCATTTTGAGGTATGTGGTTACGAAGAGTATCCTCTTATCTGTCATCTATCTCTAGCAGGATCAAACAATCATGACATACAAGACATAGCATATTTTATACTATATGAGACATGATTATTACTGCTAGACTGTATTTACAAGCCTTCTCACCATCAAAAGTGATAGAATAATCATTCACGGAGATGTCGAGCTGGCAGTCTAATTATAATTAAGCACTTGAGTCTATGTTTATAACTATGAATACGCCTAGCTCCAGCTATTATGGTATGATATGATTAGAAGCCTTTTTCTTAACAGCGAGTCATTTTATAAAATCAGCTATTCTGTACCTGAGGGGTAATATATGGAAATAACTACCAAGCACCCTACGTCCACACACTACTTGATGTTAATCTAGGACTTTTGCAAATATATTGGCAGGCCAAGCTCATTTCATGTGTGAGGTAAATAATATACAACATTTGAACACATTGACTTGCCTGCTGTTAAGAATGAAATAAATTAATGGCTTAAAGTTTCTATGAAAGACCTGTCTATTGCAACAAATAATCCCTATTCCACAATAAATGATAAAGCCCATACAACCCACCCAAAGGCCACTGATGCCAAACCCTCTCTGCCAACCATTCTCCCCAAGACTTTCTCCCCTTGCCTAAACTCGCACTTTCACTCCCACTTCCTCCCACACTATCCTCCACCATCGGCTTCACCTTCTGATACATATCCGGCAAATTAGTCGCATGATATTTCTCCCTCAGCGAATCCAACTTCTCCTTATCGTAGATTTTCCAGAATTCCTCTTCTGTGTAGTACGTCCGCGCATATAACCACTTCTTACCACCTAGCTTGTGAACGAGACTCTCAAGGCTACGATTGAAGGTGAGGAAGGGTCCTTTGCCTTTGGGGCCGGGGCCCCAGATGCCGAAGTTAAGCAGCTTTTCCTGGATATTGTCTCGTTCAGAGAGCATCTTTACTTGTTGCTGCTCCACCTGGGCTGGTGTATTCGGGAACGTCTGCCGCACAGGACACAGCCAGATAGGATACTGCCCAAACGATGAATCCACAAATTCCATCAGATCCCTCGCACCTGCATACGGAACTGCAACATCCTGGATGGTATATTCACGAAATAAACCACTCTTATGTGTAGCGTGGTAAAGTGTTCGTGTATGCGTTATCCCGTCCATTACCCATCTCATAAACTTTGTCTGCGGGAGGAGGAGGTACTCGAATGCGTATTTACCAACCCAGAATCCGCCACGATCATACCGGAAGAAGTAATCGACAAGCGGGACGGCGTCTGTGATTGGGCTTTCCTGGCCCCAGTTTGAAGCGCGAGCGGCGGCTTCAACACGCATGTAGAACCAGGGATCTGTTGGACGGCTGAATGTCCGAAGTTGATAGGGGGTTTTCTCGGCTGATGATATTTTTCCAGCGCAGATAACACCGGCGGTCTTGCTGAAGACGATGCCATCGATGTATTTGTATGAACTGTTTGAGCTGAGGTCCTGAATGAGCTTGACCCCCTGTTGCACACCATTTGAAAAAGGAAAGTACGTCAGTTCCACAACGGGGCTAGGCGGGACTTCAATAAGTCTGATCTCCAGTAAAGTGGTTATTCCCAACGTCCCAAAACAGGAGCCAGCACCATAAAACAAATCCTCATTCTCATCAGCCGAAGCACGCACTACCTCCCCATTCCCGAGAATAATCTCAACCCAATTCACCGTCCTCTCAAAGAATCCATATTCATACGAGCTGCTTTCACCCGATGTCCCCGAGTATCCACCTCCAGCTGTTATACCCGGGAACTCCATCACGACTGGTGGGATAAGACCATGAGGTAGGGTTGCGCCAACGAGAACGTCCATAGGGACATTTGGTTCGACAATGACAGTCTTCGTTTCTCGGTTTACAGCGGGCACTTTGTTCAGATGGCTGATGTCGACGGTGTTATGTTTTGTCTTGTTTGAGGCCCGCGTGCTGTTTGTTGAGCCATGGTAGATGGAGAAGGGTTGTTTGGTTTCGTAAAAGGCTTTAACTTTTTGTGAGATTTGATGAACTCTCTCGTTGTGGGTGTCCATTTTGCTTTGGCTTGAAAAGTATAGGCTTTGACTTGATGGATAACAAGAAGGGACTATACTACCAGGTTAGAGGACATCCTGGAAGACTTATATGTTTTTTAGAATATGAGGAAACGCCAGACTAAGGTAATACTTCTTTGTCTACTTCTGGCTTATCCCTACCTACCCCTCACAAGCTGACCGACGCCTAAAAGTGTCGGTAAGGCCCAGTCAGCGCGTGATGAGTAGTTTCCCAAGGCTGCTTCCATTAGGCTCACTCCACTATTGTTCAGTTATATACGTGGCAGTTCGATAATAGTAATTTTCTTAGCCAATACAAACATCCATTGGGAAGGATTGCGGTGGGGGTTACGGATTAGGATTTCTAATGTTACACAACTAGGACTCTAGATTTACGCATGATGGCCGCTCATGTTGAGAGGAAGTTCCGGGTCGTGGGTGTGTCAAGGTGGGTGTTGCTGTATAACTACTCGAGAGAAACGATCAGCTCCTTCATTTTCAACACACTCAAAACTCCACGTTAATTGTGCCAACTCGTATATCTAGAATATCTAAAAGTTCAATTAATGGCAAGCCCAAGGTAGTAAGATAAAAGAGATAACTCGAGAAAACAAGAAGAAAGGGAAAAGAAGCATGAGACAAGACGGACTGAAGAAGAGGGGTAAAAGAAGCAATATAAACTATTGATACCTTGCATGCCTTGAAATTATATAGCGCAGAATACTCAGCTGAAAGATGTCACACCGCCAGCGAAGAAATCTATCTGGCCAATAAGAATGTACATGGCATATACTGCAAAATAATCAGGTTTGCGGTCATAATCATTCATTTGGAATTCCATATTCTCCATCTAATATAGGTTGGTAAGAGGTATTCCCTGTCTCTGAGATGTGAATGTTGCACATCATGTCTGAGAAGACATACAAGATCTGGAACCACTCGTTCAAATGGACATCAGATCATATTCCAGCGGAGGGGCTACAGTCTATGAGATATTCGTACGATGTGCTTGGTGAAGAGTGCTATCTCAGATTGAAGCAAATTGTCTCCAAGCCCAGTCATGGTCCTACTGAACAAGCCCCGCTGAACCCAGATCTATACACTCTCTTGCGAGACAACTATACCCAAGACAAGAAACTACGCAAGCTATGGGGTCAAGTACATTCCATTCCGGACTGGGTTGACTGGGCGCAAATAGAAAGAGGTCAGAAGGTCCTTTATCGATATGATATACCTGCTTTGAATTCTGTAGGCCACCTTGCTAGTATAGAGAAACGTACATTTACTGATACAGCAAAGCTAGCCTTCCAAGGCCTCATCGGTGCGATGTAAGTACCATTCCTTCAATCGTATCGCATGATCTTAATATCAAATAGGGGCCCCGGCCGTGGAGCCGAAACACTCGCACGTACATCCGGCCTCGGAAGACAGACAGCTCGTCGCCGAATCCTCGAAACCGCCCAATTTATCCTCGAAGTAACTCAATCCCTATCCGCACTACAGCCCGGCGGAACGGGCCAAATCGCTTGTCTACGAGTCCGATTTCTCCACGCGATAGTCCGCACCCAATTCATGGCTCTTATTCAAAGGGACTCGTCGCAGTCCACCTATAATGTAGAGGAACACGGCATCCCAATAAACGATATCGATTCCATCGTCACATTACTCGATCTCTCAGCCGTGATCCTCCTCATAGGCCTTCCGGCGCAAGGAATCTACCCATCAAACCAGGAAGTGTCCGACTGTATCGCCATGTGGAGGTTATTTGCGCATTACATGGGGACGCCTTCTGAGCCATTCAAGACTCCGCACTCGGCAAAGGTCATGCTAGAGTCGTATCTAGTGGCTGAAATGCATCCTACGGAGAATAGTGGTCTGTTGGCGAGGAATATTTTCCGAGCCCTGGATGACGCCCTACCTTATGTGCCACGGTCACTTCTTATGGCTAATACGTACTGGCTGAATGGGAGTGAGTTGTCGAATCAACTTGGATTCGAGGGAACAACGAGGGCGTGGTCGCTTGTGCTGAGCTTACTTTATGGGGTGTTTGTCGGGCTTATATATCTATGCCGCTTGGTGCCTTGGCTTGATGAGGGCCATATCAAGGTATGTTACCTCTTCCTCTTTGCTTACAATCAGTCAATGATTGCTGATACAAGTAGCTACAACGCCGACTTCAATGGTACATTATTGTAGAGGGGAAGACAGGTCTGGGGAAAAGGTCGACCTTCAAATTCAAGAATAAGCCACAACTTCAGCCTCCCCAGAGCACCAGCATGTAAGTGGATACTCGGTTCCCGGCAAGAGCATCGCATATGTGATTAGCTCTTGGAGCTTTAGTTGCGACAAAACTTGGTGGGAGTATCTTGCTTAGCTATGGCAGGGCGTGAATACATAACCTATGAACTACAGTGTATGGGATGGTCTTAATAAATTTCTCTACTATATACTAGACAGTCTATTCCCACGACGATAGATGCTCATAGAAACGAGAGCCTTGTCGTCCGATGCAAACCCTCGCCATTGAGTTCAAAAATATCCGACTGTACCTCTTCAAGGACTCTGCAGACCGCTTTCAAAAGCTTTCAGTCAACTGCGGAGTCTGGGGAGGGTGAAATAGATGTAGGATCACTACCTTTAACTCCGTCCAGGCGGACCATGTGGGGATTCATTGCGTCTGAGTCCTAACGAAGAGAGAATACAGGTATGCAAATTGAATCCACGAGAATTATAAAGCAAATAATGGTTTTGGGGGGGGTTTGTGAGGCACGGGAATTGTCACAGCTTGAGAAAGTAATATTTGCAAAATTGAATATTTATTACAACTGACAATCGAGGAAAGCTGCGACGATTGGGACTGTCACAAAAAGTAGACAAAGAAGATATACCTTTAGTTCTCGTCCTTGGCCGCGGCCTGAGTCTTTCTGGTTTATGATGTTATTCTTCATTAGCGGTCACTGTAACTTGCAGTAGCCCAAAATATTGTTGTAGAGTCACAACCAAGCCTGTATAAAGGGCATAATTCCTGTTCCATGCTCGATAGTAGTAATCGAACTAGATAGTCGTCTGTTCGTATGGCCCGAGGAGCCCCTAGGGACGCATAGCAAAGGCACAAGTGTCTCATTTTTTGATCGATCTGTTTTCTTACTTTCTAATCTTTACATCATCAGAAACGGATGGCGAATGGGCTTTCTAGATTTAGAAGAAATGAAGAGGGATTGGGATAAAAAGCAAATATAACCAAAAAAGAAGCTAAAACCCTCACTCAAGGGTCCAATCAGCAAGCGCGAACGGCAATCCTGAATCAGGTAAAATTCTTGTAGAGTTCGTACAGAAATACGGTCCGACCAAAAATCTTTCAATATAATTTACTCAGTGGAACATGGTCAACTCATCCGTGTGTGCTATGCATGAGGTCATCTATAGTATTACTAAAATCCAAGTAGCAATTGCACAGGATCTAAGCTGACTAGTTGAAGAGGGCAAGTAATGCTTAATAATCCACCTGATGTTGAACTGAAATTGTTGCCAAGAGTAGCACCATCCCTACGGCCCTACTCAGAGAGAAAGAATATCTCCTCACCTGGTTTAACCATCTGAAATCATACCTATGGAAGTCATAGATCATGCTGACCTACCCATGGGGCCCATGGTTCGGTGGCTAGCTGAAGTTGAATCACGCGGGCTAGATAGTGCAGAGTAAGACAAGCAGAATACTAATTCTCAGCCTTCTTCAGCCACGGCCCGCTCCTAGAGCCTATCATGCAAAGTGGCTGGTTAGCCGTCACGTTATAATCACGGCGTATCCACTATGATACTTATTAGGAACCAAAATCTAGTAGATGGCATGTACTATAGAAACCGAGATTAATTTGTAATAGCGTGCCAATCCTTCCCATCATTAATCTAAAGTCGGCTCTGTGAGCAGTAGTAGTGCGTACGTCTCAGTCCTTAATCATAAGTCGAAATGGTATCACAGAGTACTGCAGCAACGTCTTCTGATAAGTCCTTCCTGTGTTGTTCATGATTATTCGTCTGTTTGTCTTCTTATTGCCACATCTGTAAAACATTTCCTAGCTGGATATACACTAGATAGAGTCGATTGAATAATTGCAATTGTGTAAATTAAGATCAATAATCTACATTTAATGCAGATGGTTAGTACATGCAACACGGGAACAGTCATATTTCATTTTGACGCTGACACTAGGAGGCTGTCCTGTTGTCTAGCCAAGTTCCTATCGCCTTTTTTTTCTTTTTTCGGCAAAGCCGTGTACCATGAACCATGTTAGTGAAGCTGCATGATTAAATCATCGCATAATGACTAGCTATCGAGTCTTCACTTACCTACATAATCCGGACATTCAATGAGCAAGTTTCATGTGACACCGTCCTTATGCGGTGCTAATTCAACATATGTTTTCATTGGAGCTGAAGTGAATCTCATATAATTTAGGAGCTAATGGATCTGTTTTACTTTTGATGGTATTCTACTTATCTTACTCCACAGTATCTAGCCCGCGTGATTCAACTTCAGCTAGCCACCGAACTGTGGGCCCCATGGGTGGGTCAGCATAATTCTGATTTCCATAGTTATAATTTCAGATGGTTAAACCAGGTAAGGGAGCATTCTTCTTCCTTGAAAAAAGTCCTGGAGATGGAGTTACTGTGGGTAAGTACGGTGAAACGTACAAGTGTACATGGTCATGTGATAATCACGTGTTGCTCCTGGAAGATTAAGATACAAAGAAAAGTGATAGAAAGGAACCTAAGATAATGATGACTTGGTAACAAGAGCTCACGGCCGATTTATTAACATCTGGATGCCTATTATCTTAGTCTCCGACAAAAATCGTGTATTTCATAGGTGGTGAGTATTGATCACCCCTCGGTGAGCCCATATCACCTATGGCGATTAGATGTATAGAGTTCTCACCCCTCTCATCAGCACTCACCTAACATCTGCCATGATGGTTTAGAGGGCAGAAAGGCTCATTTACTATTTATTGAGCGCAATACGTGGCTTAAGAAGAGCTGAGCTGACGGGAAGCCCTGTTTCCCACACCCCGTGGTCGTATGTATTAGTTTATATTCCTTTCATAATATTTATCGTAACAGCCTGGAGTCTTTTTTTGTCAGGTATTTGGGGGCCTGAAACATTAATAGGTGTCTATCTAGTTGCATTAAGCATGGGACACTGCGGTCGTAGAGTTATCCTTCCCGGAATCACATTCCATAGTCAAATGAACAAGTGAGATCTCATCATGCTGGCGATGACTGCGGCCTGAGGCCTGAATGGGATACAATCTTCCGCTAGTAGTATGGGACTTGGCGGTGGTAGAGAACAGTTTTGGGAAGATCAGATCGATGACTGGCTTGGTGCTCGGCAAACTAGCGGCAATGATGGAGATAGCCACTTCGATACCCGACGACACGGACACGCCGAATGTGCTCCAGCTTGGATCGGTGCTCTCATAAAGCTTGATGATGTACACCATTCGAACAATGCTGGCAATGCAGGCGCTTCGGGGCAACCTGTTAGTCGCATTTTTTTCTTATAACTCATTCCAGGGGTACCCTTACAACGTTCCCAAGGATAATAGCCCGATGACGACCGCGCGTTTCATCTGCCTGATTTGTAGGCCTACTCTCGTAAGTATCTGCTGTACGGCACTCTCAGGCCATTAACCGTTTCTCTGGTGTACAAACGCACCTAAAATAGTCCGAATTGGCAAAGCTAGGATCCACAGATCCGTCACCAGTGATAAGGCGGCAGTGGTATACCAAAATGGAATAGATGCGAAACACTTATAGTGGTCGTATTTTTGGGGATCATAAGATCATAAACCGCATCCACCGGAGAGCATTGGAAGATGGTGGCAAGGATAATGGCGATGCTCATGGCGGCGATGAAAGCGATGGTGCCTAGAGTGATGTTGCGAAGATTCGGGAAGAGGCGCAGGTATAATAGGCAGATTGACGTCTTGATCAGGCCAGTAATGAGGGTGTATATGATGTGAGTGACGTAGCGAATCTACAGGCAATCACGCCGTTGGTCAGAAACTAGGCTGTCATTGGGAGGGGTGAAAATAAATCTGAGCAAGCGGGCGCACCTTGGCTGCTGGTAACGCATCGGCCTTCGGAAGAATGCCATCATGTTTCCCTGTACCATATTTGACTCCTAGCAGGATATCCGACATCAGTTTCAATACTGCTATCTGGACTATACGTAAATACCAAGACCTGCAATGGCAACATTCAAAATGGCCGTGACCGTGGCGAGCATCATTGTCCAGTCATCCAAGCCTAGCCGCTTTACAATCGCAGCCCGGGATATGAATCGCAGGACAACGATGGCCGCTGCGAACCCGGTCACGGTACCATTGACGATGACAATCAAGGGCCCACGGTCCTCACTCTAAGCCGGCAATCAGTATGAGCACCGTGCACAAGCTTCAAGCACGTGCCTCCGAGCGTACTGGAAAGCTTTGCTGCATGGTGAGGCCGTAGAGCCCAGCACAGATGGGCTCATCGTGAGATGAGAACGAGAATTTATCGCTGGGCACACACTGCACGCGGCCGAAAAAGGGGCATGACTGTCTGATCCCACTAAACATCAAGTAGAAGCTTCCCTAGGGCCCTTGGCGACAGGGATATCCGATGGCTCATTACCACCATAACACTCGTCTTCTTGGCCATGCCCAAAGAACCGTAATCAACGCTTACTTAACTAGCCTATTCCGTCACAAAAGCTCAACAGATAGGTTCGGGATTGGAATGTCCGACTAAGGGCCTTGGCAGGACCCATGCCTATACCCGGCCAACGTTGTTTAAGCATTGGTCGATGTCACTGGCGAGATCAGCCCATTAACGCCCGGTCCAATATGTGTCAAACCGCTAACAGTGCCGGCGGCCGATTGGCTTCTCGATAGTCGGCAACCGGTTGACTTGGCAGCCTAGCGTAGGGCACAAATTTCCATCCGGGAACTAAACTTCGTCCGAGATTCCGGGCTATCCGTCCTTTAGGATCCCCTGAAATCGTAGACGGTCTTCCTTTTATCAAATATTCGTTTTAATATCCCTGTCGTTACTTCTGCCCTTCATGCTGGGCATCAGATCTCTGTTACTTGGCGTGTTGTCGGCATGGGTGGTCGCAGGGCATAACCTTCGGGCGAACAACATCAGCACAGGCTACCGGATCGATGTTCACTCTCATGTCATTCCTCCGGTTTGGAGAGAGGCCCTAATTGCTGCTGGCTACCCTGTGAAAAATGGAACGCTGTATACTGACGATTTCCCGGTGCCCGACTGGACGCTGGAATCACACCTGGCCACGATGGACACCTTGGGCATCGACTTTTCGACCATCAGCGTGAGTGCTCCCGGGGTCTACTTCCTTAATGATCCCAAGGAGGCACATGCGCTCGCCCGCACCGTCAATCTTGCCATGCATAATCACACCCAGGCTCACCCGACTCGACTGGGGGCGCTTTGTCTGTTGCCCCTTCCGCATGTGGAAGAATCGGTAGCCGAACTGAAGGTACATTGATTGCTCAACATTAGTACTATCCTGGCTGATAGATCTATTAGTTTTGCCTCGATACGCTCAAGTTCCCTGGTGTGGGCATGTATACTAACGCCAACGGTACCTACCTTGGCGACTCGACTCTCAGTCCCGTATTTTCAGTTTTGAATGAGCGACAGGCCACCGTGTTCGTCCATCCAGCAGCTCCGGGATGTCAGTCCGTGAGCTTGGGCTACCCGTTCCCTTTGACGGAGTACGCGTTTGACAGCGTGCGGGCAATGGAGAATCTGTTGTTGACTGGCCAGCGCGCTAAGAACCCCAATGTCAAGATGATATTTGCCCACGGCGGGGGCGCAATACCCTATCTGGCCAGCCGTATTGCAGGAATGGCGTCCATGTCGTTGCTGGGATCTCTAAATATGACCAAGTCCCTGGCGGAGCTTGCAGGTTATTACTTTGACACGGCCTCTGCCACCTCAGCAATTCAACTCGCTGCCATGAAAAGCTTCATTGGGGTGGACCAGATTCTGACTGGAACCGATTGTGAGTCACCCTAGTTTTCCTGCAGTTTTGCATCCCATCGATAAGGAGTCTAATGATGTCTCAGACCCGTATGTTCCCCTTTCGCAGAGCGAGGCCGCGCTCCCTGCCATTCAGGGCAACGGCGAATTCACTGATGCCGAGATGGCGCGCATCAACCACCAAAATGCGCTTTCATTGTTTCCTCGAGTTGCCAAGGTGTTGGGTTATTGAAGCTCTGTAGTCCAGCACAGTACTGTGACTGTCTCTTTGTCTCCTGATAGCCTGAGTCTGCAGTCCAATAGATGATTCCGATAGTATAGTGTGTCACACCCCGTAGTAATGCCGTCTTTTCCGATTGGACTCGGCGATTTGGGTCAATTCCATACATGAGATTGTGGAAGTTCGATGCAAGATGTCAGAGATGTCTTCACATTATATATTCCTATTGCCGGACGGTGTCAGGTCGACCATTGTAGCACTCAACCCCGGGCCTAAACGTGTTGAACAATGCTCAGATAGAAGAATGGCACTCAATTTCACCCGAATAGCTTTCTTAACTCATAGAATGTGTCAAGAAGTAGCAGCGCTGCGAGACCCGGCTATAAGTTGGTCTCGGAAGCCGTGTGCGGCCTGAGGCAGTCTGTTGCGAGGCTTGATGATCAAGATGCGGCAACACTGCTAGGGAACTTCTCCGGCAACACAGGACATGAGTTAGGCGTTATTGGGTGTGAACAGGGCGTTTCCCCAGCCCGACCTAGTGAGTCCGGGTAGACTGCTAGCCATATAGTAGCGATCTCTTTCGGATAGTACTCCCATCCCCCGGTCGCACCTGCGAGTGATTCCTCAACCGGAAAGCCACAATTGGTGGGGATGGATGGCAGTCAGACCGCATGTCCTGAATAAGGCAGACCCTATGGGGCTGCGATCATTCGGGGTAATCGAGGGGAAGACCTCTCCACGTACAGTTGATTCCGACCCTCAATGCGAAGTGGAAAGCCCCCTCTCAATTCTTGTTCCCATGCAGCTCGGTCAGAGGATATCGCGAAACGAGAGCAGCACGTAAACTGCATCGGTAAGTCAACTGACAGTGAGGCAGCGGTGATGCTCCATATGGTCGTGCATATTTTGCGTGTTTCTTTCCTATCAAATGACTTGCACTGGGATCCCAACTGGCAGTCAATGGCTCGACCTGAAAGAAGGATCCTCGAGATTGTAGTGTGTATCTTACTCCAGATGTAAGCCCAAGGGCTTACCTCCGCCATTTCAAATAACACTTGTAATCACAATCTTGCCACTACACGATATTTGCAGATTCAACCATCAATTATGTGGTATCTTTGTTGCTGGTCTTACAAACGAGGGGACCCTGGATGATTACCTTCCGTCGCTTTCCGCTCGGGTCACGGCTGGGCCTCCCGAGATGCCACCAACCACGTAGCATACCTTGCTGAAGGTTTGGGTGAGGCCAATTACAAGTGAGTGTCAGCAACAACTTGCAGCTTTAGACGGGTGGATCTCCCCGCTGTGGGTCGGTCAGCACTTATTCCTCCTCACGGAATTAACGGGGATACAATAGTGATGCCACATCGGATGACACCCGAGGCACATGAAGGAACTTCGTATTCCCAAAGTTAACAGCGGCGTCTACCCTGGTGCTCAGATGCATTGATCTGACTGTGAGTCCAAGTTGATGTTCCATTGATTACACATTGTTTACAGTCAATGGATCGGGGATACGAGTTCGACGGTATACCCGATGACATCAAGCTCCGATTTACCAAAAGCGGCATCTGGTGGAGACTCCGCGTCATGATCACCGTATCCCCATGCCTCCTACAACTTCGGGCCTGGAGGTAATCGGAGTTTAAGTCTATCGCCGCCAATTCTGAAGACATATATAGACCGCATCTTCCTCAGACATCCCTGAAAGCACAACCGTCGTTACACGCTGATCATCTATCATCATGTCTCTCTTCGCCCCCGCCCCCAAGCCCGCCAGCCGTCTCGGCTACCACCGTGTATTGGCACCCTCTGCCGGTGTCAAGGTCTCCCCATTGTGTCTGGGAGCTATGAACTTTGGAGACTCATGGTATGGCACCTGTACTATCTTGGTGGGACTGGTCAACTAACAGGTTTCTGCCGGTTTCCAGGAAGCAATTCATGGGAGAATGCAACAAGGAGCAGTCCTTTGCCCTGCTAGATGAATTTTACAGACTCGGAGGCAACTTCATCGACACGTATGTCATCACTACAAATTACATCGCTGTAAGATGCTGATCATTTCACTAAAGAGCCAACAACTATCAGTTCGAAGAATCTGAGAAATGGATCGGAGAGTGGATGGCTGCTCGCGGGAACCGCGACCAGATGGTGTATGTAACAGTATCTTCTCGTACTTGCACTTTTAACGAGGAACTGACCATATTAGCATCGCAACCAAATACACAACAGGCTTCCGCACCGCCCACCGCGACACCGAGCCTCTCCAATCCAACTTCGTCGGTAACTCCATGAAGAGCATGCGGGTCTCTGTCGAGCACAGTCTCAAGAAGCTCCAGACTGACTACATTGACCTCCTGTACCTGCACTGGTGGGACTTTACTTCCTCCGTGGAAGAGGTCATGCACGGACTCAACAATCTGGTCGCATCGGGCAAGGTTCTCTACCTTGGTGTCTCCGACACCCCCGCCTGGGTTGTCGTCAAGGCCAACGACTACGCTCGGGCCCACGGCCTCCGTCCCTTCTCCGTGTACCAAGGCCGATGGAACGCCGGATTCAGAGACCTCGAGCGAGAGGTTATTCCCATGTGCAGAGACCAAGGAATGGCGATTGCTCCCTGGGCGCCGCTCGGGGCGGGCAAATTCAAGTCTGGCGAGGCGCGTAAGAGCGACGCCGGATCTGGCAGCGCACGTGGCGCTGAATTGAGCGAGACTGATATCAAGGTCTCGGATGCGTTGGAGAAGGTTGCGAACAGGAAGAACACGACTTTGCATGCTATTGTGAGATCCTGATCCTATTACGATTATCCGGTGGAAGCAAACTAATAAGACTCATGAACAGGCCCTCGCTTACGTCATGCACAAGACACCTAACGTCTTCCCTATCATCGGTCAACGCAAGATTGAGCATCTCCAAGCCAACGTGGAGGCATTGAGCGTGAGCCTCTCCGATGAGGATCTCGATGAGATTGATAGCGCATCTTCGTTCGATGTCGGGTTCCCGATGAACTTCATCTACCGTGACTGCTACTCTTCCCGCAATACTGCTGCCGATGTCTGGTTGACCAAGGCTTCGGCTCTTATTGATGCACCTCCCCATGCTGCACCTGTACCGCCTCGTCAGGAATAGATAACTGCCTAATAGTTACCGATAAATTATATTGAAGTCAACGAAGCCTGGTAACGTCTATCCTTGGTAAATATGGAAATAAAAAGAGGGAAATCTTCGCATATTTCCTCCTGATCCAGAGACCCGAGCTCTTTCTACAATACATCATCAGATTATTTCATAACCATATCTTTGACCCATCCCGTAGTCCTTGACTCTGAAGTTGTATGATTGGGCTGCTGTGCCGCACACACCCCCACGTAGAAGAAGCATTGTCTGATAGTCACCGATGACCCGGTTACTGCTCTGTTACTGAAGTCAATCACATCAGAGTAAAGGAGCTCTGTCTGGTGGGCACCCAATGGGTCATTCTGGCAGAAAAACATTGCCTCTTCATAGTTTGAGAGATATGCATATTTCAGCTTTAAGTCACGCATATATCTAGCGATTTGGCCTGAGAAACGGTGCGTTAGCTGTATTGCCATCCAGTAATAGCTAACTATTATTTACCAATAAGCCGTCTGAACATGAACTCTTTACCAGCCAGAAGGGTATCCCTGATTCTGTGGCTTGACACCCATGGAGATTTCATTTCCCCAACTGCAAGGGGAGAACCGGCAGCCCTTCGCATAACTGAGTCGGGCACGCGATTGTAGACCTCATCAAGGACGCAACTTTTGAAATCACCAAACTTGATGTCAAGCCCTTCCGACAGAAACACTCCTCCCATCACCTGTCCCACGTTCTGATGAAACCGCCCCTGCGCTCCAGTCTCATCGCCAACTGAGATCTGCTCGCGGGACAGGTGATGGGGGAGTGGTGCTGAGTCTGTGTTCGCGACACGATTTCCTTTCCATTGAAAGGCATTGCAGAGGCTCTCAACGTCGGATACGAAGTTATCCCAAGGGCGCATTTTCCCTGTAAAGGATACCTTATGAATGGCGCTACTTGTTGTATGTCCGGGCCCAATTTGTAGAGTTGGTAGAGCCTGCAGGACCAAATCCTGGGCATTCAGGACGAGGGTTCCCTGAGGGGGCGCGTTTGGCATCCTGGCAAGCTTTAAAAGCCGTTTTTAAAGCCTTTATATGTAAATGGTAGCGCTGTTTCATTTCGCAGGTTTACATGATGCTCCTACGTATGTTTATCCTAAAGATACTGGTGTGGGTCTTCCATGAAAGGCTTGGTTTTTACGGCCTTGTTGTGGATCGTTAGTGTCAGCACTCAAATCACATCAGGTTATAAAGCACATATTTAATCCTATACTGGAAATACAGTCTTACGACTGATTTTCCTTATGTATTCCAGTTGGGTAGCTCAAACGATCTCCTTTATGATATTAATTGTTACAGAAGTACCGTTGAGGCCAAAGACCAGGATACCTTGATATGCCGATTGACTCGATGGCCACAAAATCGGAAATTTATCATGGATTGTAAGGGAAAAATACTATCTATAAAGACGGAGAGTAAGACGCAGTGTTTGCGTCCAGTGAATGTCCAACATTAATACACCAGTAACACATGACTAAGAATTTACCCAAAGCAAAGCTAGGATTTGATTGGCAGGAATAAGGTTACCGCTGGCCGTGCCTCCATCATCATATTTAGATCTCTCTTTTTCTCGTTCGTCTCTCCCTCTCTCTCTTCAAAGCCCATCTCAAAATATTTATCTTCTCCGCAAATAGTCGTTCTTATTACTTTCAGCATTTCTCTTGACCAAAGTATCTGTTGCTTCGACATCTCTTTGTCGCTGCTTTCTGACACCATCATGCCTTCGCGCTGGTTTGCTCAAAGCGAGGTCGCCCCAGGTACAATCATCCAGCTTAGGAAAGCTAAGTGGGTAGTCCACGAGAAAGCTAGTGAGCACTGCTTCCAGCTTAACGAGGACGATCTGCGGGACAGGCATGACCCCTCCTTCGCCTGTACTCGTCTGATCTGCGAAGCACGTGGACCGAATGGGCCTGTTCAGGGTCATATGCGTTATTATAAGCAGATCCCCATTGAAGGAACGGAAGCTGAGCCTCCTGTCATACGAGCCAAGCAAGCAGAATCCTTTAGTCCACCGGAACTAGTGTACCTACGCACTTTGACCCAGAAGGGATCTACAATCACCCCCCGTCTGCTGGACAGCAAAGAAAACAAGCAGGATAATACTGGCTTTGTTCCCGGTGGATTCGTCATTTGGGTTGTGTGGGCAGTGGTACCAGGCCTCCAACTGGGTAATGATATCGGCTCTGCACCATTCTGGGGGCTGAGTCGAGAGGAGCGGGATGCAGTGCGTCAAGCATTCAAAGACACTATCACGTTTGTCATCCTAATGCCTTTCCTGTTCGCTCATTTTGACTGATGTATCGGAACAGCAAGCTTGACAACTGGGGACACTTACCTTACCCTGAACAAGCTAAGAACCTTGTGTGGGATTCTACCACGGGAAGTTTGTGAGTACAGCAGTCGGGCACTTTGTTATTCTTACTAAGTCTGGGTTGTTACGCAGGTATTATGTCGGATTTCTTCTTACCTGCCAGGCCAATCCACGAGCTTTCTGGTCTCCTGCCAGATGGGCAGGTTGGGGTCTGGCAAGGCCTCCAAGGGAATGCCGGGATTGGAGTAGAATCACAGAGGGCTGGGAGCTCTAGGGTATTCTATTTATTGCTGGGTTACTGCCAGGTCAGCAACTGGATGCCCCCGGGGAAGGCCATCACTTCGGTTTCAATCAGCGTATCTGGACGTCCACCTGCAAACCGGAGCTCAATGTGTGTTAGCAGGGTGAAGATATCATGCATGTAGATGTATAATGGCTAATCTAATTTGATCAAATTGCACTCGGTCCTTCCTTCCCTTGGAACCGCTGGAATAAAAGGCCCTGCGGTACTGCTCGCCCTGCTCCCTCTCTGGTGCACATACATAGCTACTTGGTCTAGCAATAGCTCGTCTATCCACCAGCTCCTTCAATGCATGAGAGATCGTTTCCACGACACTGGGTTGTTGTGTATAAGAGAGATTCTGAAGCGCTGTGAGTATTCAAGTCCCGAGAATATGAGATTAAGAGTAACGATCTCCTCGAGTCTTCCGTTCGGAGGGGTGCTGGTGGGCCAGCTTCTCATAACCGGGCCACACCTAGCTCTAGTGCATGCATGATGGCTCTCCTGCTGACGCAATACAAGCATCGGTGTGCGCGCAAGGAGAGGGTAGGGTTCCACGGCCGCCATCAACCTCCAAGCATGCCCCGGAAAGATAAGTCGCCTCATCACTGGGTTGGCATACACGACCCAAAAGTATGCTGCTGAGCAATTTAGCATGTGTCTCATCACTCAGTCATGACCCAGGAAAAGCGGCATCATGGCCGTATCCCCCACAGAAGGGCAGACTGCAATCACGCGAATATTATACGGTGTCTATTCTATGGCAAGTCTCCTTGTAGCCTAATAGCCAAACCATGCCTATTAGCCGTCTTCTCTTTTGACATGACCGCAGATGTAAGAGACTCTGACCGTATAAACCGCGCCCTACTTGCTCCATACAACACTATATTTGGACGAGGGCAAATACCATTTATGGTGGAGGTGTTGATAAGAAGCCCGGGCCTCTTCACTTTCGTAGAAGTAGGGGATGATTGTTTTGGCGCTGAGGTGTATTTACTCCACATTCACGCGGAAAGCTCGCCCCTAGTCCTCGTCACTGAGGTGAGGATGTCCGGGTACGCTCCGGTAGACATGCTCCACCGGATATCCACCGTTTGTGAGTTCTACTAGAAATATATGTCCACGATATTACAGAGTCATAAGTAGCTATAGGCACTTGATATAACCAGTATCAAAGGACTTTTACCCCATCACTCACTTACTCACCCAACCGTTATAAAAACCCCGGACAAGCACTGCTCATTTTTTAGATCTTGAAGGGTTGAAATCACAGTCCTTATGGCATTTTTCTCACCGGGTTTTCAAAATAATGTAAGTTATATAGTAGATATCGATTTATGCGTGGATCAATATATATATAGTCACCCCGATAGGAATCAATAAACATCACAGAATCACGAGCAGGCGCTCTCCACGCCGCTAGATTTAAAGCAGTCACCGAACTCTCAAGTCGCGAAATTAATTTTGCGTTGTGGAATCGGAGAATTAAGAACCACAACACTCGGGTAAATTTTCCGCGATATTTCGGTGGTCAAAGTAATGATTTCCCTTCATTGTTATCGTTATGTGATCGACTAATCGTACATTGCATTCTACATAGATTTCTACATAGATTTAGTCATTTCTCTTTTTTGAGGCTTATTTGTTAATCAAGGCTTGCGACAAGCAGGCATTGGGACAGAGAACAGTTGTGTTGGAGTGGCAGAATAATTGGACGGGCAAGCGGTAAGACAGATGGAAAAAGGGGCAACACAGGTCTCGTGTCCACACCTTGGTTCCTTTTCCTCCTTCCACTTCCACAACTAGGGATATCACAGCTAGCATACATGTACATGCCAAGTCGATGACCGCATTGCTTCCTAGTTAGAGGAGATTGACGATCTCACAAATCATCTCGGGCAGGTAACGGACACGTGAGAAGTTACTCTTCGACAACTCGCCAAGTCCTGAGTTGACCCAAATTTGCGACATGGATTTGGATGAAAATATGACCTGTCGACAATCGCAGTTGATTAAGGTTGGTTCCGATACGGATATTTCCTGATTAGGAAGGCAGCTAAGCAATAAGGTTGGGAAACGATGATATCGCAAGTACCAACGTGCATGCTCAAAATATGGAATGAAGATGTATCCAAATATGTACGCTTTGAATCCCCCGCCTCGGCTCCAGTTACTATGATCTGTCTGCGCAATCAGTGGCTTTCAGCTTGATCTGTCCCATTCCGTCACACCCGGGCCTGCAACCTCGGGAGATGCCTTTCAAGGCCGAGTTAGAGTCTGCCCCATGATATGTGGCAATATGAGCCGTGCATCTGGGGAGAACGTTGTCTTCCCGTGGGAGAAAGTGTGGGTTGTTGCAAGTTCATGACCCAGGTTTATTGCCTGGTAATCATAGCAGCTTTAAGCTTATCGACATTACTGAAGCATCAAGTGGATCTACCCCATGTAAGACCTTGACTTCTGCTGAAGATGATCGATATTTACTTAAAGAGACATCGTCGCCCTCAAATGGCCACTTGTAGCAGAGCACCACTGTAATTGAGCAAAGACCGAGAGATGATTCCCCTCGACCAGTCTATTTTAGGTCCATAAAAGGGTTAATATAAGGGATAGATTAAATGCCGGGTAAACAACGGCAAAGTTGATTCCGGAGAATTTTGAGTTTGGGTTATCAACTTGAAACAACCGTTTGCGCCGGGGCTCTGGAAAGAAAGAGACCCGCCTGGTCCTGTCCACTTATCTCTCATTCTATCCACGTTGTAAGCAGGACTAGCTCAAGTCTTCTAGGTTTCCCTCCCAGGAGCCAATTTGTGTCACGATCATGAGCTGGCCAGGTTCACCAATTGGATTCTTTCTTTGCAAGCCAAAGGTAACCACGATTCGGTGTTCAGTAATTAGGTCGAAGCTCTGGATGCTTAACCCCTGAGCGGTGTAACTTAGCTTCCGTTGATCGCTTCAGCTGGCGGCCGGTAAACACCCACTGAAGGATTCGTGTCTCACACGTTACTTCAGCCGAGCGTTTCAAAGAGGCGCGGATGACTTTGACAATTTAAGCTTCATCCTTGTTTCCTATTTATCCACAGTAATTGGGAGATGAACGAAAAATCCCGAGGCTGTGGGACAGGTATTATAGGCCACTCATGAATCAACTTCAAAGTACAAGGGCATAACTATTCGACTGCAGTTGGATAGATGCATGAGCCTGTCAGAGTCAGATCGATCCGCAACATGGATGGGTCCCGCTGGGATCTGCTCCGCTTGGCTCACCCCTGTCATTCTTCCAAAAATATGGGTCTGCCTGCTCCTTGCAGGTCGATCAACTTTTTTTCCGTTGACGATCATGTTCGACTTTTTGTTTGCGCAAGCATTACTAGTCTGCCCACTTAGGAGACTTCACATTAATTGGTCTAGTTGAGGGGCCGCACGGATGACGATGTAAATAAAAGCGCGCTGGAGCTCACCTGCCAGATTTTCGCACAGCAGCCGGCATGCGATCAATGGGTTTCAATCACCAAGTCACTCCCTACCAACATGGGCTCCTCGATGCCTCTTGTCGGCCATAGTCTGGCCATCTTTATCTGTGCGGCGGTAATGATGAGCGTTAGTATTATGGCGGTCGCGTTGCGCACTTTTGTTCGTATTTATACGGTTCGAGCTTTCGGGTGGGATGACGCTCTGATGGTTATCGCACTGGTGGGATTCCTGATCTTCTCACTAACATGACAGCGGCTGATATTCAATTAGGCTTTGTTCATAGCCCTGGATGCATGTTGGATGGTTGCATCGAAGCGAGGGGTTGGCCATAAGAACGAGGACTTTACTGATTATAATACAATGGAGCAGGCACTTCTGGTAGGTCTCTTTCCTTTTCTACCAACACGCGCGTGTACCCATAACCATTCCGATATAACTAACCATTATCAGTGGTGGTGGCTATGTCAAATGCTCTATAGTTGGTCTGCCGCTATCACCAAAATATCAATCGCTATTGCCCTACTCAGACTAGCTGTGCACAAAGCTCACCGCATTGTTTTGTGGACGGTGACTGGTGTTGTAATAATCGCTGGAATCATGATTTGGCTAGTGTTCCTCGCCGGCTGCCAACCAGTCTCTTATTTCTGGTCGCATGTGAATGGAAATCATGAAGGATCATGCATACGTCGGCAGATACTGTTGGATGTTGGCTATCTCTATAGTTTCCTGATTGTGCTGTCCGATGTGACACTCGGGATCATGCCAGCCGTTCTGATCTGGCACCTGCAAATGGACCGCCGGACAAAGATTGCATTAGCCGGAGTTCTCAGCCTAGGAGCCCTGTACGTGCACTTTATCTTTTACAACTTGGAAAGGAAAGATGCTGAACCTGTTCTAGAGAGAGTGTCGCCGTGATCATCCGAATCCCATATCTGCATACTTACCATGACACCAACCTTCTATGTGAGTTTGCCCAGACCTTCCATCCCGTCACCACATCCCTAACCCCTGCAGATGCAACCTACCAAATCGACTTTTGGTCCATCATCGAGATCGGAATCGGCATTACCGCAGGGAGCCTCGCCACCCTTCGCCCGTTATTCCTTTGGGTCTTCGAAACTCGATCATACTATGGTGGTAACTCGCGTGGCAAAAAGCAAGGCGAAGAGGAGCATCCTCTGTCGAACCTATCCACGGATGCTGAAAGGTTACATAACCCAAGCAATTGGGGTGGGGAATTTGCTCCAGGAAAGTCGAACAGTCGTCTAGTAACCACCGTCACATCTCGCCTGAGCCAGTCGGATAGGAATCAAGATGCTATGACCCTTGGGGCAGGGTCATGGCAAGCACTCTATCAGGTCAATATTCAGACAACAATCAAGATATCGGAGGGAGTGGATGAAGCAATATAACTGTGTTCCCAGACTCCTGTATGGACTTTTCATTTGTACTTATATTATATTGACATAACAACTAATCAACAGAGACAAGACAATTATTCTGATCATAACTTCCACAATAAGATGTGAGAACATCATAAGTTATGCGTTCGTCATAGTCCGAATTTCGGGTTAAGGCTTACCACTCTCCGGAGGGCATGGCGAACCGAGGACGGAACGGTGGATGGCAGTTCGAGCCGTCCCGCATGCCAAGTTCATCCGACAAATCATATGCGCCGAATCGAAGTATACAGAAAGCATCAGCATGTCTATAAAGCCTGTGTAGGCCCTCTGATGGAGTGATAATTCCAGAGCAACAAATTCATCCCAACAGCTTCTAGCAACCAACTTTCAAAGCAACAATCAAACCAACATGTCTACCAGTTTCGATCTTCGGAACCCCGGACGCCCGATCCATGTCGGCGTTGTCTTGTTGAATACGTGAGTCTCAATGTATACACATCACTGAAAGCATCTAACTAACGATGCTACAGCGTGACCGAACACCTCGACATCGCCCCCGTTGGCTTCTTCCACAACTTTAGCACCTCGTTCGTCAAAACCCTCCCACCCTTCGCCATCTCCGACGAACTCAGATCCCAGGCCCTAGACTTCGTCACCCACTGGGTCACAGAAGATCGCACGACCCCGGGCTCCCTGAGCGGAAACCTCAAAGTCATCCCAACAGTACTCAACTCCCCAGCCCACACTCCACATCACAAGCACATCATTAACTCCCACAGGACTCCTTCGCCACCTGCCCACCCCTCGACATCGTGCTCATCGGTGCCGGTCAAATGGGATACCAAGCCACCACCACCGAGAAAGATTTCCTCCGGAAGTGCTACGCCGAATGTTCCGCGTTCTTGTCTGTTTGCGGTGCGTCGGACGCCCTCCTAGCCACCGGGATCTTGGAAGGCAAGACGGCGACAGGTCCACTTTCGTTTCTGCCATTGTTTCGTGAGATAGCGCCGGGAACGAACTGGGTGGAGAAGAGATGGGTGAGGGATGGTAAGATGTGGACTACGGGGACGTTGTTGAATGGCCTGGATATGATTGCTGCGTTTGGGAGGGAGGTCTGGGGTGGGGAGGGGACTTTGGTGGAACATGTGTTAAAGACAGGGTATTTCCCGAGTAGGGATGTGGATTATGAGGACGAGAAGTGAGAATCAAGGTGGCAACGGAGAGTATTGGTTCACGATATTCGTCGCCCTTATGCTTGAGTAATGGTCATTGATATTATATATTCTTCCAGCCTACCTGGCATGACTTTTTAACTTTTCAACATGTAGAACTGGAAAAGGAACACAATAGTAGAGAAGCTAATTGCTGACTCGCTATAGGTCGCTGGTGGTGATCTCGGATGATGTATATTTCAAAGACAGTCAAGCATAGAGACTATATTAGAGCAAAGTACAGTCTGGTGGCGGGATATACTGATTGCCATAGCAAGCACATAGTATCAGCGCTAATCCTAATCGGGAGGTCCGGCTACACTTGCCATCCGCCCGTCAGCTCGGCTTAGCTTTCCCTCCGCACTTCCATATATACCTTCGCCCTATCTGACCGTCATCATCATCGATCGTTCTCTTATTCATTTATGGCTTGATTTTGGGAGTAACAGTAATGGCGGACGATTATAAGTTTATGTGTCCACGTCCGCGGAGCTCCAAAGCTTGCGATGCATGTAGAACGCGCAAAATCAGGTGTATACCCAACGAGAAAGGCGGCGGGATAGACGCCTGTCGAAGGTACGGACTAATTCTGGAGTAATGTGCTCGTGCTAAACCTTGTTGACTTGTGTACTCCGTAGATGCGCAAAGCTTGGATACAAATGTGCAGTTAACGGGAGTCTCCCTTCATCAACGTGAGTAATATGTTGTAACTTATCTTCAAGCCATTAGCTAACCGCGGACAGAAGTGCAAACCGTTCCAATGATCGAGTTGTGAAGGCTTCTACACATCATGGCGATGATGTTGTCTCCGGACTATTTCGAAACAAGCCAAAAGGAGAAGAAGATGAGGTGACGCAGCTGCGCCAACTGCATCGCGGTGTATTGCAAGGCCGGATTCTAGGCGAAGGAGATCCTCGTACCCTAACAGACACCCAATCCAGCGTCGGTGATACTGTGGACTGTAATTCTAGGTCCAGCAAGATCAACTTGAATATGCACGAGGCCGAACAGCTACTATTGCAGTTCAAACACCAAAGGGCATACTTCCCGTTCATCGTAGTACCCGAGGAGACCACGGCGGCGTCAATGGCATCATCTCAACCCTTTTTATTACTGGCTATTCTGACCGTATCCTTGACGCGAAAGCCGCTTCTGCAGAAGAGGTTGGATGAACGATTTCGCCGTGTGCTAAGTGAGAGGGTCATATTTTATGGGGAGAAGAGCATGGATTATGTTCAAGGATTGCTGGTTTATATGGCGTGGTATGATAGATGGTCCTGTTTGGTGAATGGTATTGACTATGATCTAGGCGTCCGTTACATATCCGACCGCTCAGTCGCCAGGGCTCTCAATTCATGCAGATACTTGTGACTATGATATCTGACATGAAGCTTACGGAAAATATGCACGATCAGGCTGCTCGAGACATCTGCCTTGGGTGTTTTAGTCTTTCATCTATGTGAGTCTGTGTCAGGTAGTCTGGGACAAATGTCTAATTGGATGCACAGGTTATCCGTTGGCTTCCGCCGGCGTGGTGATGACGTCGCCTATAAGTATCTCAAAGAATCAGTGAATGCCAATCAGCGATCAAATCAACCGTATGATGAACAGTTTCAACTCTCAAAACTTCATGTCCTATTCGAGGAGATAATGCGCTGCCAAATGGAATGTAGTCCTCTGAAATGTCCAATCACCAAACAACAGAGAGTCGAAGAGAAGATGGAATCTCTCCGCCTAGAACTTCAGATATTTGAACGAGTACATGGTCCCAGCACCAGTAAGTAAATCTACAAGCCCCAGAGGCAAGATACTAACATACACATTGTTCCTGTACATCTTCTACTATTATCACTCAAAGTGCATATCGCACTTCTACCTTTCCGAATTCTTGATCCTAGACCGAGCAGCATAACTAATCCCGACCGCTTCGTCGACCAAGGTACCTCCTGCGCCGCTGAAATCCGGTCTTTTTTCGAATACTTCCTTTCCATCCCACAGGATCAATACATATCATTCTCGGTTCGGGATTGGTGCCAATTAATTCTCACCATCAGCGCAGCCTCCGACATCTGTTTCCTATCCTTTGCTTCTATGAGCCCTATATGGACCGACTTCCAAATCAAGACGCGATCAGGCATGTTAATCTATCTCGAGAGTCTTTCTCATCGAATGTCGAGACTTTCCGTCACAAAGGCTGGAGAGACCCCTGATGTATATTATATGTTCAAGTCGGTGTTGGATATAGTGCTGTCCACATATACTCCGACCAGCGGGGGCTCTTCATCCCTAACGTCAAGAAGCAGTAGGGAAAACGCTTCTTTGAGAGAGGAACCTGGCCGTTATGTGGCTGCTATTTCGTCCACACCTTCGACCCGCTGCCCCATGGTGAACGGGAGTATCCAAGAGTCGGAATTCTGGGAGGCCATGAAACAGAGTGATCTGTACCTAGAAGGGTTGGCGGGCGGGATAAACGGTGAGGATGTGTACACATCGGGAGTAGGTAATTTGCTCGCTGATTGTGGGGATTGGCCGAGCATCTTTTCAGAATGGGTCAACGTGTCAGTAACTTGAATGAGAGACATCCCTTAATGGGCGGAGAAGTTACGCCAAAAATCATGGACCCGGTTTATCGGTAAGAGGTGCTGTAGATTGTGTTTGGGGACTCGCATAGTCTGGCATTGTGACTCCACTATTATCTCGAGCGAAAGTCTAAGATAACCACACACCAATATCGATCTTTGGCAAGGGCTTTACGCTGTAAGTATCGTTTGAGTTGCAGACGCCTTATTCTAAGAAGGTTGCATAAGCTGCGCCTAGGACTCTAATAGAGACAATTGCAGCTTATATGACACCCCAACCCATATCCGCCTGCCAGGAATACACAGCAGGTAGACCAGGACTCTTACCAAAATTCACATAGGAGGCATGATGGCTGACAAGCCCCCTTAGTCTCATCTCATCGGATCCAGTTCACGGGTGGATAATTTACTGAATTCTTCTCGCGACAGCGACTTTGCATGGTCGCTTTCATCTGGGTATGACCGAAAAGCAACTTGAGGGAAGACATACGATCAATCAAGCCAGAAAAATGGGAAAGCTCGCCATGAATGCTTAGCATCGGAGAACGCTGAAGGTGTGGGAGTCCAGGGCCCAGGTACGAATGTTATCGACCGCTGTCGGTGATACTAGGCGTATGACACTCACATTTCTGAATGTTATGAATTCCAAAGCCCGAAATAAGGACTTGCATTAGTATTATTGCTGTGGAGTAGGTTACAATCCAATCAAGTATGTTGTCAACATGCACCAAAGGACTACGAGGCGGACAAACCCAGCTCCTTGCGTGTTTCTCTGCGTACCTTTGCCATAATTCCTAATGGGCTTCGTAGTTAGGCGGAAATACATGTCGAGAGATAGGTCAAATTAGATGGTGATTCAAGGTTAGCCGTCTGCAGATGGAGGGACGTATATGTTGGTGTAACGGGGTACCCCTGGATACTACGCGAAAGGCCGACCCGGTGAGAGAGCGCAGGGTAGGTTTGAAAAGTAGACGTCAAGCAAGGAAATGTTGGATCCCAGGTACGCTGCTAGGAATATGTTCCTGTGGGCAAATGAAGGAGATTCGCAGGGGGGTGGCAAACCAATTAGCAGTGACTAGCGGAGAGAGATATGGAGACAAAAAATCGATTCTTGGGGCGAAGTGTTGGGATTCAGCCTTATATTAAGTTGTATTAATATTGAGCTGTAGATCCTGGTGGACATAACTTGCATATTTGACGGAGTTGTCTCTCTGTTACCTTCTGGAAGGAAATTAAGTAGGGACTCATGTCGGACCTTTAACAGCAACCTTGCATCCTTTTCAAACCCTCGGTCAGAAGCGCTGTGCGACATGAACTGGTAAGTGCGGTAGTGGAGCCAATTTTCTGACAGGTCAGCTGTGGGTGAGTTGAGACTTGGTGAACCTGTTTCAGTTTGCATCAGCCCCTGGATAACTTCGTTTCATCGTAGAATTTTTGGCCCCATACACCCATGCTGCGGTTCGTTTTCATTGGTGTGTTCCCAGATGGTGATTTATTGATGCAAGTATCCGCGTGGGTGCAGGGCTATCGCAGCATCAACATTGGTGTTTGTGTCTCAGCGCCCCCACCAACACCGAGTCAGCGCTAAGCATAACCGCTACCCATTGGTGTGAACAGCCTTGCGCCGTTGCACCTTCGGATCCATTCAGAATCTAAGCTAACGGCGTTCATTGGCGAACCGTAAATGAGATCATTCCGATTAAATTGCACTGACCACATCGTCCTGATAAGCTTCTGTTCTTTGTTTCCGATCCTTTGTCTACTTTTTGGCCGACAAATGAACTATTCTTCCTTCGCCATGGTTTCAATCTTGAGCAACAAACTTGGGGTCCAAAATGCCCGTAACACTCTCACGCCATATTAATTTCCCACGAGGCTTTTTCGCATGCGACGCAATGACTCATGACTGGAAGAAATGTTCCTGATTACCCTCACATCGACCCACGCGATGGATGTACACTCAGAAATGGATCTAGCAAACGCCCCGCCCTATGGCAACCGGCCTGTGACATGCCACAACCATCCTGACGGCTTGCATTAGTTTATCCCGATATTGCAGATGGGATAGAGAAAATCCTCCTATTGGTTACAACCCTGCATCGCCAGGTTCGGAGTATTGATTGGCTCGCATACGGGAGCCGTTTATAAAGACTCGAGTGCCTCCGAACCAGTTCCAGCATCACGCCCACTTTCCTTCACCACCCACTCGGGCTCTTTGCCCACAGTCACTCCTTTATCGAACTACCACAGTTCATACTCAATTCTTCAATTTTATTTTACTCGTGCAGATAGGCTAGACGCCCTCACGATGATGAGATCCTTGTTCATCGCCCTTTTCGGGCTTCTATGGGCTAAGCAGGCGCTGGGCGCCGCCGTGTTCGCCCACTTCATCGTCGGTAACGCATGGAACTACACACTCACAGACTGGGAAAATGACATGACACTGGCCCAGGAGGCCCATATCGACGCATTTGCCCTGAACATGGGTTACGGTGACTCGTCCACCGCAACGCAGGCTGCTCTCGCGTTCGAAGCAGCCAACAAAGTCGACTTTAAGCTTTTCTTTTCCTTTGATTACGAAGGAGGCACCGGTGCCTGGCCAGAATCTGACATCCTCACTTACCTTAACAAATACGCCTCCAACTCCGCCCACTACAAGTACAACGGCAAGGCATTCGTCTCTACTTTCGAGGGTACCGCCTACGCGACGGACTGGAAGTCCATCAAATCTCAGGTAGACTGCTTCTTCGTCCCGGACTGGTCATCACTCGGCGCAGAGGGCGCCTATGAGGCTGGCGGTGGAGGTATCGTCGACGGCCTTTTTAGCTGGGGTGCTTGGCCTTCCGGTCCGAACAATATGAGCAATGCTACTGATCTCACTTACCTCGATCTCGACATCCCTTACATGATGCCTGCCTCTCCGTGGTTCTACACCAACCTCGCTTCGTATAGCAAGAACTGGCTCTGGCGTGGTGATAGCCTGTGGCACGATCGCTGGGAGCAGATCTGGGATCTGCAGCCAGAGTGGGTGGAGATCCTTACCTGGAACGACTACGGCGAGAGCCACTACATCGGACCCATCCGCGAAGATGCAATTAGTCTCATGACGACCGGTGGTGCACCATTAAACTACATCGAGAACATGCCCCATGATGGATGGAGAGATCTTCTTCCTTTCGCGATTGACACTTACGTCAAAGGAAACGCCACTCTCGGCGACGAAGGCATTGTCACCTGGTACCGACCCAACCCGTCGGAGTCCTGCGGCACAGGAGGTACTACCGGTAACACAGCCAGTGAGGGACAGACGCTATACCCGCCCGCTGAAGTTGCTGAGAACAAGATCTTCTACTCGGCGATGCTTCATTCGCATGCGAATGTTACTGTCACTGTTGGAGGGAAGTCGTTGGGCGCTACTTGGGCCAAACACGGCCGGAACAGCGGCGCAGGACTCTACCACGGTGCCGTGGAGTATGGTAGTGCGACTGGGAAGGTGGTGGTTAGTATCACCCGGGATGGGGAGACGCTGGCCAGTGTGGCTGGTCAGTCGATTAACGCGACGTGTGTGAGTGACCTGTCCAACTGGAATGCTTGGGTTGGATCTAGCGTTGCGAAGAAGACGAATTCCCGTCGTGATGCTACACTCCCAGTGAAGAGTAGACATGCGCACCGTCATGTTGGGAGAGGACATAATCGCTTTCATTGATGCAGGCATAGCGGGAGTTTAGATTCCAATTTGGTACAATGTATATTTCTTTCTAAAGTTTATCGTACGGAGAACATCAAACACGCGGTGATTCATGAGATATTGTAAGGATTACAACACAAGATATACAACGAGTAAGATACACAGCGTCACTTTGACACCTATCTCAAGGGATAATAGTATCAAGGAGATAGATAAAGGCATACGCACACGCACACACAATGATAGGGCGCAATTTGCTCTCGCATTTAAGATGTATGTTAGGCTTGCGGTATTAGCTATCGACTATAGAGCCTACGTCAGTATATTGGACATCTGCTTTTCATTCCAGTTCCATTGTATCAGATAGTTTTCATCTGCGCCGCAAAAAGGTATAAGATAAGTATACAATTGCAGGACGCGGTCAGTGATGGAAGGCTAATTAGTGCCTACTGGAGAACTCGTTGGTATTATGTTTCGGATTGCGATGATGGGCTCAGCAGGCACCCCAGCTGACCGTT